ACACACTAAAAATAAGCATGAAATATACATCTTTAACTCTTGTCTTAAAAATCAAGTTTAATAGGGTTCTCATTTAATTTTTTGAAGTACATAATATATTCATATGGTTCAAAAGGCAAAAGGTGGAAACAGTCACACATTGACAAATCTCCTTCCCATTGATCAGATGCCCCCCTCACCCTACAAAGGTGACCACCATTCTGTGTCTATATATCCTTTCAGAGCATCTTTTTACATATACAAGTAAATACAGGTGATCCTTTTCCCCCTTTTATACCCAAAATGTAGTCTATAATACATACTGTTCTGAATCTCACTTTTTTCTTTGAAGAGCTTTCTGTAACAGTTCATTAAGAATGTTCTCATTTCTTTTTTTCAGATTCAGACACCTGAGCAGTATTATTTCTTTTTTACAACTACATATTATTCTATTGCATGGATGTGCCATAATTTATTTACCCTTCCCCCACTGGTAGATTTTTGGGTTGTTTCCTATTTTTCATATTACAGTGCTGCAGTGAATAACTTTATGTATATATATATGATGTGTGTGTGTATATATATATATATATATATATATATATATATATATATATAATTGCTCACGTTTCAGGTATATCTTAGAATACACACCACAAAGTGGAATTGTTGGCTCAAAGGACATAAGCATTTTTAATTTCAGTAGGTATTTCCAAATCATGATTTCTTTTTTGATCCTTGTCAAACCTACATGAATTGTACAGCATTAGAAAAGACTAGTTTACACAAATCAACCTTTTAGTAATGATGTCTTCTAATTTTATAATGCTTTATAGTTTAAATATACATGAGCTTATATGATCCTCATGATAACCCCGAGAAATTGATATCAAGAATTATTATATCCATTTTACAGAATAGGAAACTGAGGCTAAGCAAGGTGAAGTGAGCTGCCCAAGTCATAAAGGCAGTACACAGAAAAGCCCAGGTCTTCTGATTCAAGTCACTTTCTGATGAAAAACCTTATTGGTTAGTTGGTCAATTTCAAATTTAAATAACTGACCTTATTTTTGAAGCTTAATTTAATATGTGAAAATAATTGCTAATGTTTATTGAGAGCTTACTATGTGCCAGACATTATTCCAAGGTCTTTACTTTCTCAACTAACCCTCATCTCAGTACTCCTGTGCTATTCACTTGTGCTATCCGGCTGGATGTAAGACAACCCTAGGTGACTGACAGTTTTTCCTGTGAAACTGTGCAGTTGGTTAAGTCTTCTAAAAAGTAGGTGTATCTTGGCCAGGCATGGTGGCTCACGCCTGTAGTCTCAACACTTTGGGAGGCCAAGGTGGGAGGATCATGAAGTCAGGAGTTTGAGACCAGCCTGGCCAACATGGTGAAACCCCATCTCTACTAAAAATACAAAAATTAGCCAGGTGTGATGGTGCATGCCCGTAGTCCCAGCTACTCTGGAGGCTGAGGCAGGAGAATCACTTGAACCCAGGAGGCAGAGGCTTCATTGAGCCGGGATCACAGCACTGCACTCCAGCCTGGTGACAGAGAGAGACTCCATCTCAAAAAAAAAAAAAAAAAAAAAAAAGTAGCTACCATTTATCAGGTTCTAGGCTCCAGGCACTGCAGTAGATGCCTGTTTAATCATCAGACAACAAAGTTCAATGATCTGTTCAAGATCACACACATAGTAAGTGGCCTCATCAGGTTTTGAACTTCTTTCTCACTCTATATAACCTTCCCACTACAGAATTCTGCTTGTATCCTCACCTCTAATTTGCTGGGCAATAAAGATCTGGACTAGGGGCCGGGCGCGGTGGCTCAAGCCTGTAATCCCAGCACTGTGGGAGGCCGAGGCGGGTGGATCACAAGGTCAAGAGATCGAGACCATCCTGGTCAACATGGTGAAACCCCGTCTCTACTAAAAATACAAAAAATCAGCTGGGTATGGTGGCGTGTGCCTGTAATCCCAGCTACTCAGGAGGCTGAGGCAGGAGAATTGCCCGAACCCAGGAGGCGGAGGTTGCGGTGAGCCGAGATCGCGCCATTGCACTCCAGCCTGGGTAACAAGAGCAAAACTCCGTCTCAAAAAAAAAAGATCTGGACTAGGATGATGATGGTTATGGAAAAGAAGGTTGGGAGACATGTACCAAATATCCTGGCTCTTCTTTCAGATTCTTTATGCGTCACAAGTCTCAAGCCGGGAGGAGGGGGAGTTGCACTCTGCATCTATAGTGAGGAAGAAGCCTCAGGGTCGCCACCCTTATGAGTTGTCAAGTAATCCTGTACTACTGGACAGTGAGTTCTGCTGCTGTGCTTTGGAGCCAAGATACATAGCATTGCTGGATCGTGCTACCACATGCCTGCCTGCCTATCTCTCTTCCTGGCTGGGGCCTGGTCTTGGTTTTTCTTGTTTGTATATTATGGCAGCGTAAGACAAGTTTAGAAGACAAAAATAACCTTGGAATTATCTTGTGAATTCATGGCAATTACCATGCAATTACATGCTCAGTAACCACAATGGAATTCGACAGTGTTTACAGTTCACTTCCATGTGCAAAAGCCCATGCTTCTGGGCCTTTCACTGTGAAAGTGAGAGCGTGGCCAGCCTGGTATGGCAGGGGGAGCAGGTCTGGTGACCATGCCCATCCACGCAGACTAGCCAGCTGGGCCAGAACTTCTCCAAGCCTGTTCTTGTTACCCCACCATTTATTCCTGCTTAGTCCACCTGAGCCATGCTGTCCTCTAGCAGGCAAGACCTGGAGCAACTGCCCTGAGTTGTCCTCTGAGGATGGTGTGACTGCCCCTTGTGCCTTGTAATAATCACCTGCTTTTGCCCCAAAGCATTTATCAATGGGCAGTTTCTTTCTTGAATTATATCCTTTGAAGAGTCCCTTAAGTCAGAGGGAAGAGAGCTATCCACCTAATCTGCTTCATTTATTCATTCTCGTTTATTTAATAAACACCAAGCGCCTGTCTGTGCTGGTATCATGCCCAAACTGGAGATTCAGAAACCAAACACCACCTGCCCTCAGAAAACTCCCAGTCATAGAAGGGAGAAGGCCAGGGGAACAACTCATGATAGGTCAGGGTGACAGTGCACAGTTGTGAGGCATATGAGGGTCACATCAATTCTTCATTCTTAGAAAAATCCCAGTGGCTACAAAGTGAGGGTACTAGTGAGGGTACGCAACTCAAGAGGTCTTAGCCTGTGGGGGCCTAACACATCTGTGGATGTGGACTCGACTTGCATTTAGGATGAAGCAGCCTTAACTAGCGGTACTGATGACGTGACCCTCGGACACAGGATTTGATGTAAATGTTGAAGAAAAAGACATCACATGTGGGGGGAGCATGTCACCAAATGTGACCATGAAATCTGAGTGAGTAAATGTGTGTGTGTGTGTGTGTGTGTGCGTGTGTGTGTGTGTGTGTGCATGTGTGTGTGTATGTGTGTAGAGGGAGAGAGAGACGCAGGAGAGGAGAGGATGTGTATTCTCTACAGGGAACTCAGTCCATCCCAATTCCCCTGTATTATCTCAGAGACAGGAGGCGAGGCTGAGGCCTGATTATAACGTATGTGAGATCGCTGTGATTCCTTACGGCAGCTCCAGACCCGCAGTACCACCTTTTCCTACTCCCGTTCCAAGTCACTGCACAAGTCCGGGCACCTGGTTGCCCAGCAGCTGTGCATCACCATAGTTGAAGAACCGGTCCAGGCACCTTAGTCTCCTAGGCCCTAACGTTGGCGTTGGCCCTATATGCCCTATGTTCTCTAAATTTCCAGCTATCCAAAGAGAAAACCGGCTGATTGACTGAGGCAAATATCACATCTCACCAAGGCCATGCTAGAAAACTGCCAGGATCCAATACTTCACCTGGTACATATTACTTTTTAAATGTTTTTAAGAAATACATAATGACAGCACTCTGAACCTGCTATCACCAATCTTTTTGGCATGGCTTTCACTGATAGGCAAGCGAGATAAAGAAGAGCAGTTTCCCCAAAGAAAGAGAGTAGTATCAAAATTCTAATGTGAGGCGGCCCATGCTCAGGACTTACTTGCTGCCAAAGTTTAAAGTATGGGAAGAGAGGGAAAATGCTTTACAGCAGAGAAACTTGTAAATATTTTTCACAACTTTCGAAAGCCACTGTAGCCCGGTGATAAAGGTTAACATCATCAGTAATAAGTCACATTGATACCATGTACCCTTGATGTGAGGTGAGGAAAATGGCAGATTGCCCATGTGGTCTTCCTCTCAAAAACACATTACTACAGCCTAATCAGGAGAACATCAGACAAACTGAAATTGAGAGATATTTCACAAAATGCCTGCCCTTTACTACTCAGAACTGTTCAGATCATCAGACACAGGGAAAGTCTGAGAAGCTGTGACAGCTCAGAGAAACCTACGGAGATATGACAGCTAGTCATGGTGTGGTATCTTAGATAGGATCCTGAAACAGAAAAAAAGAATTAGGGAAAAACTAATGAAATCTACGTACAGTATGGGTTTGCATTAATAGTACTATAGGACCAGGTACGGCGGCTCACGCCTGCAATCCCAGCTGAGTCTGGCAGATTGCTTGAGCTGAGGAGTTCAAGACCAGCTGGGCAACATAGTGAGACCTGTCTCTACAAAAAAATAAAATTAGCCAGGTTTGGTGGCACACACCTGTAGTCTCAGCTACTTGGGAGGCTGAAGCAGGAGGATCACTTGAGCCCAGGAGGCAGATGTTGCAGTGAGCCCAGATCACGCCACTGCACTCCAGCCTGGGTGACAGAGTGAGAACCTGTCTCAAAAAAAAAAAAAAAAAAAGTAATGTAGCAATATGTTCCCTTAGTGGTAACAAACTTACCACAGCAATGTAAGATGGTAACAACAGGAGAAGTGGGTGTGGGAACTCTCAGAATTATCTTTGCAATTTTCCTGTTGATCTACAAGTATTCCAAAATTAAAAGTTTGTTTAAATATCTGTTTAACATTCAGTTTGTGCTCCTTTCCAGACGCTGGCAACCAGTCGCTATGCAGTGATGACTACCCAGCTAAGACACAGCAATCTCTCACTGGTTTTCCACTACGTTTTTCTCCAGATCTGTAGAGCCCATGGCATTGGCTATGATCTTGAGGTATGAAGGGTTACTGTTGGCCAGGGGTGGACCAAAGACATGCCTGTGGGTGATCTAGGTAGCTAATAATGTGGTGACCCTTCAAACAGCTGTTCTTTATGGGTTTGATGTGTCTGTAGAGGGAGGCTGATTGCCGCTTGGGGAAGAGCAGATACACGACTCCACAGAGCGCAGCACTTGGTCCTGGAAAGCTCTACTTCGTCCCCAGTCTTACACGCCCACGGTGGCAAAGCAAAAGCCATGCGGCTCTCCAGATCTAGGAGGCATTTTGGGGACCACCTCCTGAACCTGAAGCAGGCCCTGAGCTTCCTGGCCGCACCCAAAGCTGCTTATCAATGCATAGCCCCTGTCTTAGTCTGCTGGGGCTGCCATGACGAAACAGCACAAACTAAATGGCTTGAACCACAGAAATGTATTTCCTCACTGTCTGGCAGCCGGTAAATCCAAGAATAAGGCACTAGCAGATTAGGTTCCTGGTGAGGGCCTGCTTCCTGGCTTGTAAATGGCTGCCTCTTTGCTGTGTCCTCACAGAGAGGAGACAGAGAAAGATCTGTTTTTTTTTTTTTTTACAAGGTACCAGTTCTGGCAATCAGAGCATCACACCTACAACCTCATTTAACCTTAATCACTTCCTTAGAGGCCCTATCTCCAATACAGTCACTTGGTGGTTAGGACACAATTCAGTCCATAGCATCTTCCTACCTACGTATGATCATTTATTTCTGAAGAGAGTGCTGATAAAAACCATTCCCGCGCCGGAAACAGTGGCTCACGCCTGTGATCCCAGAACTTTGGGAGTCCGAGGTAGGTGGATCATGTAAGGTCAGGAGTTCAAGACCAGCCTGACCAACATGGAGAAACCCTGTCTCTCCTAAAAATACAAAATTAGCCAGGTGTGGTGGCACATTCCTATAATCCCAGCTACTTGGGAGGCTGAGGAAGAAAAGTCACTTGAACTTAGGAAACAGAGGTTGTGGTGAGCCGAGATTACGCCAGCCTGGGCAACAAGAGCGAAACTCCATCTCAAAAAGAAAAAAGTTCCTTCTAGTTTTGGTCTATTGCCAGTGATACTGGGGTCCACTGCATAGCTGCTTTATCCTGATGTAGCTGACTAGGGTCAAGTGCAATGCAGTCTCCTGCTGAAAACAGAACCTCCATTTTGTGCCTAGAAACTCAAGTTACTCTGGAGAAATAGTTTCATGTTTTCCACTTTGATTCAGATTTTCCAAGTCTCTCACACTCAGGGCCATTCTAAGACCCTGAGTAACCCTGTACACTCCTGCTTATGGAAAACCCATTTCATAGCACATCAAACATCTTAAAATATATTCACCTCCCACATTAAATACAAGGTATATATAATAGGAATTGAGTAAGCCAGGCATGGTGGCTCATGTCTGTAACCCCAGCACTGTGGGAGGCTGAGGCAGGTGCACCGCCTGAGGTCAGGAGTTTGAGACCAGCCTGGCCAACATAGTGAAGCCCTGTCTCCACTAAAAATACAAAAATTAGGCCGGGCGCGGTGGCTCAAGCCTGTAATCCTGGCACTTTGGGAGGCCGAGGCGGGTGGATCACAAGGTTAAGAGATCGAGACCATCTTGGTCAACATGATGAAACCCCGTCTCTACTAAAAATACAAAAAATTAGCTGGGCATGGTGGTGCATGCCTGTAATCCCAGCTACTCGGGAAGCTGAGGCAGGAGAATTGCCCGAACCCAGGAGGCGGAGGTTGCGGTGAGCCGAGATCGCGCCATTGCACTCCAGCCTGGGTAACATGAGTGAAACTCTGTCTCAAAAAAAAAAAAAAATACAAAAATTAGCCAGGCATGGTGGTACTTGCCTCTAACACCAGCTACTTGGGAGGCTGAGGCAGGAGAATATCTTGAACCCGGGAGGCAGAGGTTGCAGTGAGCTGAGATTGCACCATTGCACTCCAGCCTGGGGGACAAGAGAGAGACTTCATCTCAAAAAAAAAAAAAAAAAAAAAAAGGTATTGTTTAGTAACCAGTCAATCAGGTATTTTGATTTGTAGATATTCAACTCTACATTTATTAACTTATATTCTTTATACTTGGGACCAGTATAATTTTCAGGGATCAAATATTTTTATACGTTCTTAAAATATTAAGGTCATGCAGACCTTCAGCACGAGGCAAGAGTGAAGAGAATGGTCCGGCTGACACTTGGCAATCCCCAGCAGGCTGCCATGCACTGTCAGGGCGCAAGAGACTTTGGTTAGATGGATTCGTGCTGTTTGCAGACACATAAAGTGGAGCTTGGATCCCCTTGCAAATTACATTAAAATTGATAAAATAAAGAGAGAATGAAGAAGCCAGATTGAACTGATTTACCTGAAATTAATTGTTGCATCTGCTACACACAATCCCTTTGGAATTAAATAGTTTTTAGCCCAAAACTGATTAGACCGAAACACTTCCACATACCAGAAGGTGGCTAAATCTAACTCTAGCTTTATCTGAATCTATTTTATTTTATTCTAAAATATCAAAGTAGAACAAGAGCTATAAAAAGGCATATTTGGCAGGGACAGTCTACTGCACTCACTCCCCAAAAAAGTGCTTCATCACTTTCTATTGCCTGAAATTATTATTAGAGATTTATTTTGGGGGCTTAAGACTTGGTATTTGACCAAAGTTCAAGTACCCTTGGGGAAAGTAAAGCATCAAACTTTGTAAGTTATTTACTCCTTTGTCTCTGAGCTGATCGGATCTATTTCTAAGAGCAGGTTTTTGTAGGGGAAACAGATGGCTAAGGCCCAGGGGAAGCAGGTGGATGGCGCAGAGGAAAGGCCTCCACTGAGGGTCAGGGAGCTGACTGAAGACAGCTACAGAAAAGGCAGACAGAGGGACACTGACGACACTTCCAGCAGAGTCTCATGGACTCACCTCCAGGTCACCCATGCACAGCAACTTAAAAAAAGATGAAAGATAAAATGAGAGAGAAGATTGGGGCAACAGAGTGATGAAACAATGCAAAGAAGGAAAAGATAACAGAAGAAAAGGGAGAGGAGAAAATCCAGAGACTGAAATAATCCACTAAAAGAGGAGGAGGGGATAATCAGAAAGAACAGGAACAGGTAGCAAGCAGAGGCACAAGAAAAGAGGGAAGAAGTCGAGTCACAAAAATCCAAGGTGAGAAGGAGTCACATGACTGCTTGAACTTTCTGGAAATTCTCCAGCAGTATCCTTGCTTTATTTTTACTGAAATGAGTTTTCATCTTTTCAGACCCTGGGATCCCTTCCTAGTCGGGACTCTTCACTTGCTGTCTTAATTGCCTTTTCTTGGGTGGCAGGGTGGTAAGTGGTAAACCAGCGTTTATGGAGTGCCTACTGTGTACTGGCCTCTAAACTGAGCACTTTACTTCATTATGTCATGTATTATTCATGCCTGTCCTATAAGAAGGTCTTTTTATTGTTGTTTTTTTAAGATGGAGTCTCGCTCTGTCACCAGGCTGGAATGCAGTGGCATGATCTTGGCTCACTGCAACCGCCACCTCCTGGGTTCAAGTGATTCTTCTGCCTCAGCCTCCCGACTAGCTGGGACTACAGGCACACGCCACTACGCCTGGCTAATTTTTGTATTTTTAGTAGAGACAGGGTTTCACTATGTTGGCCAGGATGGTCTCAATCTCTTGACCTCGTGATCTGCCCACCTCAGCCTCCTGAAGTGCTGGGATTACAGGCGTGAGTCACCGCACCTGGCCAAGAAGATGTTATTTCTACCATATTACAGTGAAGACTTTAGTATTAAAGATTTTAAGCACTTTCCCAGGGTCATACAGCCAGGAATTTTGTGGAACTGACATTTGAACCCATAATTATCTACAAAGTCCAGCATGATTCTTCATCTTACACAAGGTGTCCACTATATAAACCTTTTTCCCTCCTAAGGACTGTTTTCCAGTAACTGTCTCTATTTCCCACTAACTGTCTCTATTTCTATTTCTAAAAAATTACTAAGCCAGTCCAAGAAGAATTCTGGAATCCATTTCCAATAAGCTATCCCCTCCAGGTACCTTTTATGTATTCCTCAGCTGGAGAAGCACAGACTTCTCTTCCTAGCCCCTATGACTATCTCTACCTTACAAAGGAGGAAAAAAAAGTTTAACAATTAATTTCCCTAAAATTTTATTGCCTCTTTGGGTTATGCTGAGTCTAAAAACAAGATCATTTACCCAAATTCCAGAGTAAGCTGCTCCAACTCTTGGTTAAGTTTAATGTGTGTGCTCATTCCAGAAAAAGTAGCATTAATAACACATCATTGTCAGCCAGGCACAATAGCTCACGTTGTAATCCCAGCACTTTGGGAGGCTAGGTGGGTGGGTCACCTGAGGTGGGGAGTTTGAGACCACCCTGACCAACATGGAGAAACCCTGTCTCTACTAAAAATACAAAATTAGCTTGGCGTGGTGGTGCATGTCTGTAATCCCAGCTACGCGGGAGACTGAGGCAGGAGAATAGCTTGAACCCAAGAAGCAGAGGTTGCAGTGAGCTGAGATCGCGCCATTGCACTCCAGCCTGGGCAACAAGAGCAAAACTCTGTCTTAAAAAAAAAAAAAAAATCAGCCGGGCGCGGTGGCTCACGCCTGTAATCCCAGCACTTTGGGAGGCCAAGGTGGGTGGATCACGAGGCCAAGAGATCGAGATCATCCTGGTCAACATGGTGAAACCCCGTCTCTACTAAAAATACAAAAAATTAGCTGGGCATGGTGGCGCACGCCTGTAATCCAGCTACTCAGGAGGCTGAGGCAGGAGAATTGCCTGAACCCAGGAGGCGGAGGTTGCGGTGAGCTGAGATCGCGCCATTGCATTCCAGCCTGGGTAACAAGAGCGAAACTCCGTCTCAAAAAAAAAAATCATTATCACTGTTACCAAAAAAAGGACCCTCAAAAGTCCTTATTTGCAGCACTGTTTTTCTTCCCATTATGATCACAGACTTTCAAGAACTTGATGTTTTTGTCCAAAGTCCCAGGGAAAAAA